ATTTAAAAAGCAAAAAGAAAAGAGGAAATTAATTCTATTATGAAATGGAACATAATAGCTTATTTGTAACTGTCCTTCATTGTATATATATTTATTTAAATGGTTCTGTTTCTATTTACATTGATTTGTTAGATGATATGCATATGTAAACAGCGAAATAATTCAAGCACTTAAATCAACAAACATCTGAAAAAAATTCAATTCTGAAAAAGTAAATTTAAAATTTTGATAAAATATAAATTAGAAATCTTCCGAATAAGCAAAAGAAAAAAGAACGAAAAGCTGTAAAAAACGGAAATAGAAAAAAAAAAAAGAAAAATAGAAATACAAAGGAGGAAGGCGAGAGAACCAGAAAGTAGGATATGAAATAAAGGTAGAAACGGGCAAAAATTAAAAAATAATCATCAAATGATTGAAATTTTTTAAACAAATCCATATAAATTTTGTATAATTTTTTCTTTAATCAAAAATGAAAAGAAGGTGAAAGAAAGAAAGTGAAAGAGAGAGAGAGAAAAAAAAGAGAGGAAGAAAAATTATACATCACATAAGTTATTGTCACCAATTTTAATACTAACAAATTAACACTATCAAAACCCTTTTAGTCTTTTTTCAAAAAATGTCATACTTTTCCTATTGAAATTTATTTCTCTCTCTCTCTCTGTCTTTGTTCGCCGTCTCCAACTTATTTTATCCAAAAAATTTTTTCCATTTATTTCCCTCCAATACTTTTTTTCTCATCTGCTGCATGACCAATATTTTTATTCGAGAAAAGCAGAAATAAAAATTAAAAAAAAAAGACGAAAGAAAGAATCTTTACATTCATGTTTGAATTTTATTTTTAGAATGAGAGAAAAAGTTCAAAAAAAATTGGAAAAAAGAAATGAGATAATTTTACTGATTCGATGAAAATTACTTTTTTTCTTTCCTGTCTCTTTCTACCTCTTCATTTCTTTCTTTTTTCTATTCCTTCTATTTTTTTCCTATAATTTTAGTTCTTTTTTTTTTGTTTTTTGCTGCATAAAAATATTTTAAATTCTTAAAACATTTCTGGACTGTGTACAAGTGCCAATATTATCAAATTGTTTTGCTAGTATTTTTTTCAAATAAAATTCCATTTTATATATAAAAACACTTTTGAACCATATTTTTATTATTTCATATGTTTTTCTTGTTGTTTCTTCTGCAATGAATTTACTAATTTGCAAAATTAATTCACTTAATCAAAGTTTTGTTTATTTTATTTTTTTTTTTTTTTGAAAAAATATTTTAACTGTACAATTTCTGCAGTTTCTTTATTTTTTATTGTTTTTTAAATTGTTTTAACGTTCGATTTAAAATTTGCTTTTTTATTATTTATTTTTATGTCAAATCGTTGAATAACAATTTTATTCTGTTTGTAATATTCGTTCATTGATAGAAGAAATTTTCAAATTTTTTATTAATTGCTAAGTTATCGAATTTAGCTTTAGACAGAAAGAGAAAAAATAGATTTCGGAATTTAAAGGAAAAATTTTTTCAAAAAATTACATGAATTTTTTTAAATATTGATAATGGCCTACATATGATCTCTTCATATTTTTGTAATATATGATGATATAATCATTATCAAAAAACTGAAATTAGAGGCATAGTTTCAAACTATTTGCTAAACGAATGATAGCGATTATATATGTTAATTAGTATGATAAATTTGAAAAGTTTTAGTTTTCATCATTTTTACATTTCAATAATTAAATTTGAGAAAAAAAATTCAGTCAGCAATTAAATGGTTATGATATCATTTACAGCACACTTTTATATTTTACTAAAATGCACTGTTTGTCTAATAATAAGTTTAAATGAATTATCATTCTCTGCTAATTGCTGATAAAATCATATTTGGAAACTATTTTCCTTATCATTTCCTAGTTTTTTCCACCTTCTTCAATCAAATTCATTTCTTTTCTTTTTTTTCTGCACTAATTTCAAATGTTATTTTAACCGATTATCATTTCTAATTTATATTTTTTGATTTCTAATCTCCTTCTTTTTTTCTCTTACTTTTCATTCATTTTTTTCTTATCATCACTGAGTAATTTTGGTTTATTGAAAAAAGAGCAACTTACATTGTTTTTTCTTTTTCTACATCTCTATAAATAATTCATTCAAATATTATTTTTTTTCCTCAAATCAACTTATAAATTTATATGATAGTATAAAAACTAAATGAACATGTTTGAATTAAAATGAATTAAATGAACATGTTTTCACATTGTGCCTGTCTTTCATTTATTCCTTTTCACTGATTTATTCAATTTTTATTTCTATTTTTAGTGTTGTTTTAATGAATTCGCAATGATCTTTTAATATTTCGATAAAATAGATTTAAGATTATGAAGTCTATGTTAACTTAAAACAGTGCTTGGGAAGTGAAAAAATAAGGAAAAATTGGAATTAATTATTAAACTTTCAATTAACTCTATAATTTTGGATTACATTTGAGACAAAATTATTATATTTGCAAAATTGTTATCAAAATTATCAATACAAATGAAGCAATCATTGATTAATTACCGCTTATTTAATTTTTATCCCATAATTTTGTGGCAAGTATATTTCTGGTACTGATTGATTTATTCTATTTGAAATTATTTATTTCATTCGCAGATAAATTTAATGAAATTAACATTTTTTGTGCTATGAAATCTGCTTTTTTCGGAAATTTATGTCTTTTTCCACTTTTTCCCTTTTTTGATTCTAAATCATTTTGATGAATTTTTTATTACTCTGGAAGTTAAGCAAAACTTATGGAAAAAACTTTAAAAATAATAGGCTTATATAAATTAGTAAATTAATTTGATCTGTCATCAATTTAATATTTTCTTTGCTTTTTTTGTTTTCTTGTTTCTTTTTGAAATTTAAGTCAGGTTTTGTTTAAAAACTCGGCTTGTTAAATCTGTAACAATCTATCGATTTCTATCTATTTAATCAATCCATGTTTATCACCGAATATGTGCTTTATAATATTTAATTATATGTTTTTCATTGTAATATTATAATTACATTTTATAAATAATAGAAAAAAGAATTATGCAGTAATTCAACATTTACAAAAATGGACGAATTAAAATGACCTCATTGTAGTTAAGTAAGCTTAGATGAAATTTAGGAAAGAGATGAAAGAAAAAAAAATAAAAACACAGTATTTATTTCATTATCATTTCGCTGTCCGCATATTAAATATAACTAGCAACGATTTTTGCGTTTTCAATTTTTTTCATCTTTGTCATCTGCTTTTTTCAAACAGTAAAGGTCATTTGAAGGACATCGTTTCCAAAAATATAAATTTTGGAGAGTGGAAAAAAGAGGAAAGAATGAAATAATTCAAAGTCCGCTATGGATTAATGTTAATATTTACACAGTTCCCGACTAAAAATAATTTTAAACGAACTTTTCTATTCCATTCAAAGTGTCATCCAATAAGTCGTGAATTTCTAATTAATAATAGTAATAACTTAATAATAATAATGAATGAATTCATTAATAACAATCTTTCTGAGAGATAAGATTTGAACAATATTTGAACGATCATGTCCTGGAATTTTCCGCTGATAAACTGCAGAAAAATAAATTGCTTATGATATATTTCGTATTTATACTTTGTGTACACATATTCTGGGTTTAAAAATTGCATAAACTATAATCTAATAACCACGTAATATATTTACTTAGGTATCATAATCTGTTCTTTCTAAACCTCAAAATTATATGCTGCAATTTAAGAGCCGTTACGTGTTCTGTAATTATCATTAAATCATCGATGAATACACATGATACGTAATTTCCTAACAATGATACGTAATCATTTGCAATCCAAATATATCCTATTAGAAGTGAAGTGCTGAAATGTTGATTCATAATTAATTAAACGTCAAATTTCCCTTTTTAATCAGTAAATTAGCATATGGTTTAATTACCCAAGTTTAAGATTCTCCAGTTACGAATCGAAACCCAAGGGCATACATTAATAAATAACGTTCAACGAACTGTTTGTTACCAGAAATTCGGAGGTAAATAAAGGTGGAACATATTGTTGGATTCAACTACAAACAGCGGTATTTGAAAACGACATTTAAATGAGCCAATCCAATATTTGGCTATAACAGCAATAATTTGTAGTAGCCTAAGTCTAAATAACAATATTGCTGCCTTGTGTATATAACTCTGAAGGAGAAATGTTCGAAAAGAATAAATAGTACGAAATCAATGAAATAGAATTAGGGACTTTTTCAATGTTCGCATATGTATGTGTATGTGTGCATGTGTGCGTATGTGAGTGTATGTAAGAGTATGATGTGTATGTAACGGCGGATGCAATATGTACGAGAATGTTTCTCGAGATAAGGGGTGGAACGTCTCGTCGAGAGCGAACAAATGCACAATGAGGAACAACCCAAAAAATGGCTGTAAATCAAGACGTGAACTGCTGTGTATGTGTATGCATGTGTCTATGTGTATCTGTGCATGTGTGTACGCTTGTATGTGTGCATGCGTGTATGTTCATTTATGCATATAGTTAAAGCATGCATGTGATTATGTGTATGCGTATGGGTTGTATGTGGGTGTGTATCTGTGCAGTGGGTGGGTGTGGGTATGCAGGCATGTGTATTATGTATGCATATGTCCATGTTGTAATCCATTCACAAATGCTAACTTGAAGGAAACTAACTCATGTTTTGATTTTCTACGCTTTCCTACGATCCTTCCCATCTTTCCCATCCATTTATCTGTCCTATCATATGTCACACCATATCGCCACATCACATACCGTGCATCATACTATGTCACGTATCAGCACATCATACATACCATAAACGTATTATACATATACCATCACACAGTATACCATTTATTATATTATGCCATGTTACTATAAGCAAACTATACACATACCATATGTCAAATATCAGCATATCACACCATACCATAACCATATTATACTACATGTTATATCATATCATATGTCATCGCATCTCGTAAGCATATATCATATCACCATTTATCACATTATATCACATATAACATGTTATACAAGGATACCATATACATTATCGTATGTCGCATATCGGCACAATATACCATATACCATACCACGTCATTATCAGCATACACCATATCACACCATATGCCATACATGTCATATCAGCATATCATGCACCGTACCATCACATACCACATCATGCCACGTCATATACCGTACCATATCTTGCACACACCATATCACTACATACTATACTACACAACATAATCATCGTATATCACATACATATCATATACCATACAATGTCATATATATACCGTGCGTCATACTATATATCAGTATATACTGTATAATAGCGCACCATATACCAATATACCAGATATACTGTAGCATGCATGCCACCACTATGTACCATATCATGCCATGTCATGTACCATATACCACTCATATACCATATACCATGCAACACAGCATGTATCGTGCCATACCACACCATATTATCGTACATCATGCACTATATACCATACCGTACATGTACCATGCAATTGTCATACCGTTTATACTGTCAACCATATGTATGTCACATCATATCACAGACCATATCATATGCCGCATATCACATATCATTACACGTTATCACAATTAAGCGAAAAGTTAAGGCTTAAATATAATTCCGAAATTTTTATTCAGGAATATCTAATAAGGCATTAGAAATGATACATTTCATGATATAATAATAATAATAATAATAATAATGATAATAATAATAATAATAATAATAATAATTGTTATTATTAGGGAACGTATTTTGTTATCATTATAATCTCAATTATCATTTATAGTGTAACCCCATTGTTATTCTCTATATTTATTGTAATTCATTATTTTTTTACTCTCTTCCCATTCTCACTTAGTTCTTTCTAAATGCCAGCCATACGAGTCATGTGAATTATTTTTTCAAAACGGCTACAATTTGAAATTATCATTGTTGAGTTGTAATTTTCGAATATTCCGAATAAGGAAGTGCTATGAGATAATCAATCAGCATTTTAGATCTAAGAAAACTATACTGCGCACTAAACTGTCCATCAAAACTGTTAGTGATGTTTATGCGAGATAATCAGTCAACGTGATTTTTTTTAAATTTTAATTTTTTCACGAAACTGGAAATTAGTTTCGAATAATTTCCATTATTCTTATTTTACAAACTGTTTTGCAAAAACTAAATTTGCAATGAATATTGTCTGATATTCTGTTTGGTATTTCATTCTTTTTTCTCCTTTCTTTCTTTAATAGGTTTCCTAAAACTTTTTTTAATAGGTTTTTTTTTTTTCAAACCCGAATTTAGGTTTCATTTAAATTTAATTTAACGCTTGCTCAAACTAAATTGTTTTTGCAGAAATTATATTCTTTTTTGATTTGTGGTAATAGTTGAAGACAAAACAACAACAATACCAACTACTATTGCTACTGCAATTATTATCACTACTAATAGTTCTAATATTACTGCTCTACTGTTATTATCAATAACGACGAATTTGAAATAAAATTGATATTTCTGGCCAATTATTTATTAAACTCATTTCTTTATTTTCGTCCTAATTTAATTCATCTATTATTTAATTGATTATTATTATCAATATTATTACTGTTGTCAATAAATGATACAAGCTGCTCAAAAATAAAGAAGGGAAACAAGAAAAAAAGGAAGAAAAAAGGGAAAAAAAAGCAAAAAAAAACGAGAATGTGTAACGTGAATCAATATGAATATTGCTTGCAATTTACATGTCAATAATTATCTGAAATAAAAGTAAACAATAACAACAGCCAAACAACAAGAAAAAAACTAATAACACTAGTGATAATTGTTGGTTTACAAAACGGAGACATTACTATTAAAACAAACTTAAATCAGCATTGAAATTTTTGCTGAAAATTCTAAATGTGATTCAACCATCATACATATATTTCTAATATTGCTATTATTATACTGTAATGGAATATTGGCAACGGCCAACAACTTTACAATATCATTATTTAACACAATTTCATCTTATGCTAATAATAATATTATTACTATTATTTCCATTCTTACGAGTTACGTTTTGCAGTGCGGAAATTAATAATATTGATAAAAATGAACAATCAAAAGCATTGGAATCAATTGATTCAGCAACTATTGCCGATACATCTTCTGTTAAGGTTTGTCTTCTTATCAAATTTCTTTCTTTTTTTATCACACAAAATAAAAATTAATAAATATGACATATGTTGATATGAAATAAAATTAAGTGAGTGGTAACAAATAAAAATTAGAGAAATGCAAAAAAAAGGAATGTGGAAAAAAAGCTAATATAACTTGCAACATGCATAATAATTAACTGATTTAGGATTTGTAAATTTCATTTGCATCCTTTAAAAACGCAATAAAATTACAAATGTGAAATACTTTATGTGCACATCATTCATAATTAAAATTGGATGTGCAAATTTAAGTAATTAAATCAATTAATGAATCTGATTTTTTTAAAAAAAAAAACTCCTAACACATATGGAAAAGGAAATAGATAACATGAATATATGAGATGAAATATCTATCAATGTCATTGATCGATCAATAATAATATATATTGATTTCTATGCAAAACTACAATTACTCACCATTTAAACAATTTTGATGAGCAATTTGGGATGAAAAAATAATTAAGGAACGGTGGATCTAATTAAAGTAGTAAAATGTGAAGTGAATGTCATCATTTAATGTGAGATTTTCTTCATTGCAATCTTTCCTTTGATGAAATAAATGAAAGGTTGGTAAAACGGTACTACTCAAATTAACTTTTCCATTTAATTTCCTTTTTCACATTCACTGCAATTGGATAAAATTTGCATATTCGTTTAATCTCCAATGATTCCCAATGAGGGACGAATTGGCGAGAAAAAGTCTTAAATAGAAAATATTTCATTGACATTTCAAACATAAGCATTCAAATAAATTTTCACAGATTGTAAAAAAAATTTTTTTTTTTAATCTAATATTGATGCCTCACGAAACAATACCGCTAAATAGATAAGTGATATTAATCTAATACGACAAATTCTCTTAATGCATCTTATATGTTTATAAATGATAAAACTTTGAATACATATTTATTTTTTTGCTACTTGTTAAAATAATAGGTTAATTTTTCAAGATTCCAGTATTTCAATGCAGTAATATGTATTGATTAATGACAAGTTTGTTGTTGATAAATAATCATTTCATATATTTGATTTGCTATCAAACCACTCGCTGTCATTTCACTTTTTGTCCACTTTTTATTGATTGACAAATAGAGAAATTCGTATATGTCAAAAAAAAAAAGCATTATCTGTTTGTCGAAGTGATATAAAGCAAATGGAAAAATTTATATATATATATATATATATCGTTAGACTAGAAATTTTTTGCGTCCTTTTTTCTCGTTTTTTTTTTCTGAAAAAAGAAAAGGAAAAAGTAATCTTTTGATTGGTTTTAAATAAAACAATGAAAATTTGGAATAATTTATGGAAAAATGCAAAAATTGATTCACATTTTATTTTATTATTTCAACCACTTCTTCCAATATTTCATTCAACTTTTAATCATTTAATTTTAAAGCATTGCAATAGTCTGGACATATGAGTATAGTTATTATTATTGTCATAGTTAAATTTTTTGTGAAATAAAATTTTGAAAATTCATTTTTTCCTTACATATAAAGTTGTAAATCATAATGTGAATAATTCATTGAAATAAGAATTATTTAGATTTGTTAAAATTTTGTTCTACGTTAATTTTGCTCATATTGATCTTTTTCATTTTTTTCATTTTTTAGAAATAATTCAATTAATTCATGTATTAATTCATGTTGTCAAAAAAAAATCCCCTTATGACATATTAAATTTGCAAAGAAATGCTTTTTGCCTTAAAAATATCTTTGCTTAAATTATAAAACGACTAGGTTTTTTTTTTTCAACAAATTTTCTTTACTCCAATAATTTCCTACTCTATATTTAATTCTTTCTCTGTTCATTCATTTCTTATTTGTTGACTTATTTGTTGCTGGAAAGAAGTGCTAAAGAATTCATGAAATTCCATATCTATTCTAAGCCAGATGAACAATAGTTATAATAATAATAATAGTAGTTAATTAATTAATCTGCTAATAATAAGTACGAATGATAATAATACTAACAATAACGATAATGACGATAATAAAAACCATTAAAATATACGATTTTAAAATAAACTTGAAAATTCAATGAAATGAAACGCAATCCTTTTTGATTGTATTTTACATTTTAATATGAAACTTTAGCTCCATTTTTTTCTTTCTTTTTTCTTTTTCAATAGCGCTTTTTTCTGTTCTTTTTTCTAAAGTTTAAAAAGCAATTTGTAAGTGGCACAATATTAGAATGACAACGATAATAATTAATCAAAATTCTTTTTCATGGATGCAATTTCACTTAAATCATAAGTCATACTTTTTTTTTTTCATTCTATTTCATTTCTTTTCCCTTTTTTAGTGTCTTTTTTCTCATTTGATGATAAATGAAGCGATCAGTTTGTGAAATATTAAAAATTTTTTCTAGCTAAAAGATACTAAGAAAAATTCTCCCGATTATTCATATAGCAGTATATTTCATGATTTTTGATCGCTGGAATTGCTATTAAGAATAATTTCGCTCCTTTTTTTGTAGAATTTTTTTTCCTTATCCAAATAAATTTCTTTCGAATGTTTATTATCATTTACATTATTCTTATTCTTTATTGTTATCATCATTATTGTTATTATTTATTATTATTGATCATACGATTATCATTTCTTCCTTCTGTTAATGACAACAAAAAAAGTGTATGATAATAATAAAAAATAGTGTAAATGATAATAATAAAAAAAAATTACTGTTTTCTTATTATCATCACGATTATTATTATTTACAATTATTATTACATTTTCCTTTTACTATTACTAGTTTCACAAATATTATTTCGATGCTTTTTCTACCTTGCAATATTATTTTTGCAACAATATTATTTTTTACCATTATTAGCACTACTATTACTATTTTTTTATAATATTATTTCAATACTATTAATTTTTTCAAAACATTGTTATTTCAATCTTTATTTATTCATTTATTTTTATTTTTGATGCTTTTTTGCAACCTTCTTACTTTTCCCTTTCTTCTTTTTTTCCTTCGTCCTCTCAAAATAATATGTTTTATAATATAAACTGAAATTAGGGATGAAAAAAAAGGGCCAATGCAATTTTTATCGCCGTATTTGCTTTCAACGAGTACGAATTATATACACAAATTTGTTGAGTAAATTAAAACATAAATAGTAATTGAGTAAATTATCTATCTAATAATGTTGATAAAATGAATAAAAAGTTTTCCATCCTTTTTTTTTTTTTTTTTTTCATGTCAAAGTAATATATGATCGATAATTTGGATGACATTTTTTTTCTGGTGATTTGAAACGAATAAAATATTTAATTTAATTGAAAAGAAATGAATAAATGAGTAATTTCTTATGTTGCATTTTCTTTTTTTATCTTTTTCAGCTTTCTTTTTTACCGTCCCTTTTTTCTTTTTAATTATACTTAACTTTTTTTTTTG